TGCTTGCACAGGTTCTGCACGATCCTCTTCAATAATATCCTCTGCTTCTCAATCGGGCTCAAACTGATAAGCAATATTAACATGCAGTTGTTTACAATACAACTGGAGCACATGCTGCTGAGGTGAGGGCACACTAGAGGCAGTTTAGCCAATCACAACACACTGGGCTAGCTAAGCAACCAGAGCCCATCTGAGGGAGGGGCTTCATAAAAGAAGGAAATGATCAGCCCGTTTCTCAGAGAAGGGACAGAGAGGTGTGGAATAAAGATAAATTATGTGAAAAATAATGCGTTTTTTAAAAAACGAAGCATTAACACATGTTAGACTGCACCCCATAAACACAATCAAGCCTAGGAAAAAACCAGTGAACCACCCCTTTAACTTATCCATTGTTGTTCAGATGTAGTAGTACAAGCAGGTGTGATGATTGGTCGGTGTGGTATTAGTCCCGCCTCTCTTCCACTGTGATTGGTTAGCTGACTAAAAAGTGACAGTGATGAGCGCTGCGTTTTACCCAAATTTGAGCATTCTTCATCAACTCTCAGCACCAAAAAAAATGCACAGCATTCTGTGAAAAAATGCCCAGTGCCTCGTCACACTCCTGCCGTTTTAAAAAATGCAGTGCTCCCATTGAAAAGCAACTGTAAAAATACACAAGCCTCAGAAAAAAATGCTTTGGTGGGCACACGACCTACGTAAGCGAATAACCTATTGTTTCGGTTTGCAAACTGAGGTAACTGTTAGCATATGTAAGCAGGTTTAGCAACTAATTCTGTGAATGTAACCACAACTGCCCAGTAGGTGGTGATATTCACTAAGAATGCAAATCTCAATTATGCAAAAGAAGAAGAAAGAAGAAGTAATAGCACTTTTCTTCTTAGGCCTTGTCCCAAATGGCAGCCTAAACCCTCGTGGACTTTCTCTGAGTTCGCACTTTCGTGACGTAATGCCACTTTGAATGTCGGGTAGAAGTCTGCTGCGAAGCTCGCCCCAGTGCGGGCTCGGCAGATGTGCGGATCGAGGGCGCATAACGGCCACAAAGGGGGTGCTCGCCAGCACCCTTCTGAATGCTAAAATTACAAATGGGACACCCTACGGTCTCATGGACTTAAATGCTCACGCGGCGGCCATTGTAAGTCCGTAAGACCGCAAGTGCACATGAAGTGTTCCATTTGGGACAGGGCCTTAGTATCTGTTTCCATGGTGACTCCTGGATTCAGTGCTCTGTTGAGAATCGGGACTGTTCCAGTTCCAACACATGATCTTTGCACCCGACCACTTATCGGTAACACTTTAGAATAATGGTCCGTTGTTAACAAGTAACTATGCAGGAAGTAATAGGTAGTACTACATTAACACTACACTTAATACTATTAACTAATAGAGAAGTAGCAAATTTAGGACAAAGCTAGTTCCTTATTAGATATTTGATAATTATTAAATAAAAATATCCTCATTGAGAACTACTTGCGAACTATGACCAATTAATAAAGAATAACCAATTAATTACTAATCACAACAGTAACGTCTTAAAAGTGAACAATTGTGTTCTTTGTGGAAACTAATTTATGAATTTAATATCCCCCAAATAAGGTTGAAATTGTGACTACTACTCTTACCAAAGGATGGATGTTCTCTGTTTATTTCAAACTTAAACATAGACTAATAAATCAAATAATTCATTTAAAAATGTTAATAATTAGGAAGTGATTGAATTAGTTCATAATTATGAGCTCTAGTTTGTGTCCGTTCAGTACTCAGCATTACATCTTAATTATTAACATTTTAAAGTGAATTTTAATTTTTATTATTATTCTATGTTTAAGTTTGAACATCCATCCTTTGGTAAGAGTAGTAGTCACAATTTTAAAATGTAGCCGACTTATTTGGGGGATATCATATTCAAATTAGTTTCCACAAAGAACCCAATTGTTCACTTTTAAGACGTTACTGTTGTGATTAGTAATTAATTATTTATTCTTTATTAACTGGTCATAGTTCACAAGTAGTTCTCAATGAGGATATTTGTATTTAATAATTATCAAATATCTAATAAGGAACTACCTTTGTCCTAAATTTGCTACTACTTACTGCTTAGTTAATCTTGCTTCTCTATTAGTTAATAGTATTAAGTTAAGTGTTAACGTAGTACTACCTATTACTTCCTGCATAGTTACTTGTTAACAACGGACCATTATTCTAAAGTGTTACCCACTTATCTACTTACATGATGTGTTTGTTTCCTGAAATTGGTCAAAGTGTTCAAGTGGGCATTAAGACCACACATGTGATTACAACTTTTGATTACCCGATGGGACACACTCACAACATGCTGTTCTAAAAATGCAAGTAATGTTTTTACTGAGCTAGCCAAAAACAAATCTTTGAAAAAGTTTTTACCGAGCTTTACTTATACATTTTAATTTGCAATACTTTGCACTTTAAAATAAACTTCTAAATGTCTATTCAGTAGTCCCTGTGAAACAACCGACACATTTTAGTATTTTTGGTGCTTCTAATTATGTTATAAAAGCAGCTGCAAACAATTTCCAAAATACACTTATCTCTGCACCAATAAAATGTGTAACACTTTACATTTTAGTACCAAATTTGACTTACACTAGAAAGGTTCCTTTAAATTCTCATGATTTGTGGCACATGAGTTAGTATTTTTTGACCTGGGACTGTCTTGTACTCTGTGGCCAAAAGTGTGGGTACTGGGACAGGTCTTAAGTTTCAAACTCTGGTTTGACTGAACTAACTCCAAACTGCATCTTTGGAACTAATAGATAACCACAAGAAGCAAGGTTTGCATTAATCAACTGAGAGTTTGAGGGTCTATGTGATGATAAGTTAACCTGGACGTGTACCTGGAAACGAGCTAACATTTAAGCACTTCTGGGTTTTATCGCCCTGAAGTCAGTGTTTTTTTTATGGGCTTTTGGTTAAATACCTCAGAAAAGGTCTGTGTTTAATACAAGCTCAAGCTATTTTCACATCTTAATCTATGACATAAAATACATCAGTAATACCACCTTGTGATTTTTTTTAAAGCTTTTACTTGTTTTGAAAAAGGATGTTGCTAACAAGTGGCTAAATGGGACTACAAAGGTAGTCAGGGACATTAAACATCATCACGTTAAAATTGTTCGTTTATAGCCTACATTTAGCTTTTTACTTCTGGCGATTGTATTTGGGTGTCAATATTCACAAAAGTTGTGTTCATTTATGAAGATTATCCTGATGAACAAAAAAGTGCAAGAATCACAAACTTGTGTTGATCACAGAGCTTATTTTCTGCAATAATGCGATGAAAAAAAATCCTGTTGGGATTTAGTCAAGGGAACTAAGGTGATGTGAACTACTGGGTTTGACTACAAAAATACGTCATTTGCATAAAGATAAATTCTTCTCAACTTTGACACATTGCTGGACATGCCCACATTACGCCAGTGGTCGCTGTTGCTCATAAAGCATTCACAAACTGTCATTGAATCTGGTCGCTTTGTCATTCCAAAGCACTGTACGTGTAAACAGGGCATTAGAGTTTATGATACTGTCACTTGAATGCACACAGACCTTCTCAACCGAAACAACAGATGCTCACACTCGCATTACATTGTATCCTGAGTAGGCAATAGCTGTGCCAGCATTAGACCAGCAATTTTGTGTGTACTCACTGCGCTGGAGGGCGTTATATATCTATAATCTGATAAGGGTGTGATTTATGGAATATGGATTATGGAAGCCATTCTCTAAACTTCCCTCCTGATATCGCATTACACCTCTTAGGAACACACATAAACACTTATCATTTTGTTTGTCCACATAAACGACAAGTATAAAAGGGCTTAGGTGTCTTGATGTGTATGAAGGAGGCTTGTGGAAAACACTCTAGGCATATCAAAAATAGCTGTCCTTTATATGAACTCAATCTTCTCATTAGGTCTGTGTGCATGAGAGAGAGAGTGACTGTAATGGCTCGCCTGTGCGTGTGGACCCGGTCTCTGTCCGGTTCTCTTGATAGATGATGTTGTAGCAGTTTTCCTCCTCTCTGACTAGCATGAAGACTAGATCACATTCTGGAGGAATGGCACACACCTTCAGCGGCACACACACACACACACACACACACACTTATATACATGTATCAAACACAAAACCTGTACAGCAGATGAAGAACTCAGAAAGCAAGGCTTCAAATGAAGAAATTAAATAGATGCACTACTAGTGAAGCATCTGGAATAATTATGTTTTTTAAGAGGATGCATTTATGTGCTAAAAAATACAATAAAAACTGCAATATTTCTGAAGGATCATGTGACACTGAAGACTAGGGTAATGATGCTGAAAATTCAGCTTTGCATCACAGGAATAAATGACATTTTCAAATATATTCAAATAGAAAACAGTTCTTTTAAATTAGAATAATATTTTACAATATTACTGTACATGTTTTACTACATGTTTGATCAAATAAATGCAGCCTTGGTGAGCAGAAGAGACTTCCAAAAACATTTGAAAAATTATTTCAAACTTAATTATTTCAAACTTTTCACCAGTAGCATATATATATATATATATATAGTACATATAATGCAATACAACAATATATATGATCATTTTAGAATTATAACTTGAACACGTAGTAAACGTTAATTTTGTAATGGCAATCACACTAATTTGGACAAGTCAACTATATAATGGAGGCAGATTTTAATTTAAAACCTAACGATTTTAATAAGATATTAATTAAAGCCTGTGTTGTCATGACAGAGGGATTGTGTAAAGTTAAAGCCAGTTGTTACTCAACTGTTTTGTTGTAATTGTCAACAATTTCTCAACAAATATCTCTTGATCAGAACAACAGTTCGATATTTATATTAGTGTTTTTTGTTCTTTCATGAATCCATAAACAAATTACAACTTCCCCCTTTGTGACAACATGCCCCTCTGTGTTAACTCTATAAATGAACATGAAATAACCTTAGCATCATATAAGTAAGTCACCTGTATAACAAATGCAACATTCTGCTCTAAACTCACGTGAGAACAAGCGTGAAGTAAAGCCGCGAGAGCAACCAGATGTAAAACGGCAGAAATCTTCATTTACAAAACTTCTGACGGCAACAAGCCAATATGATGGAAAGGGCTCCTGGCGCTCGGTCCCTCTGAGGCAAAGTTTCATCTCCTCGCGCGCATTCCTTGACGCTCGAGCGGTGAGCAGACGTGAATGTGCGGTCAGCCCACGAGGTGCGACTGGTGAGGCATCTCCTCCAAACATCTACCTGACCTGACTGCCTGTTAACTGCCCTCAGATGCTTGCGTCTCTCAGCGCAGCCCATAACTCATCTGCTCATTTATTGCGCACAAAAAAAATGTGACCATGCATGTGGGCTTGCTGTGAACCTTCTTGCTCGTGCACTTGATACAGATACAACGAGATATAATCCACTTTCTCATGGGTAATTGTATAATAGTGATTAATAGCTAGATTGTTACATTTTTAAAAGAGAATATAGAGCTGCTTTCCCTCCACAATTAAGGCGTTATGAGAGAAAGGTTGCTGTATGTTTTCTGAGTCACTTTTCTAAGGTGTTCTTATGAATTTTCACACTTTGACATCAGCTTTTGTGGTGTTTCTAGGTGGTTGCTAGCCTATAGGATCCTTCCATAAATGCAATTCTATGGGATTTTTTTTTCTTTCATGTTCCAAATCAATGATTGATTGTACCCATTTGTTGCCAAGTCTGTGGTTTTCCCAGGGAATTTGGCTACATTTACACTGTTGCCAAGAGGGGGGTAATGGTTTCGTGCGGGTTTTATCTCAAAGACCTGGCAACCCTGAGCTCACTTTTATTGCATGGACAAAAAACACTTTTTTCAAAGTTTCTTCTTTTGTGTTTTATAAATGGGTTTGGGACAGAATTTTCGTATTTGGGTGAACTATCCATAAAAAATGATCAACAGTACTTGTGATAGTAAGCAGCACTGCTAAAAACATCTCAAACAGCCCAGTCTTAAAGGGTTAGTTCACCCAAAAATGAAAATTAGGCTGCGTTTTACTCACCCCCGAGGCATCCTAGGTGTATATGACTTTCTTCTTTCAGACGAATCCAGTCGGAGTTATATTAAAAATTGTCTTTAATCTTTCAAGCTGTTTAATTCCACTCAGCGAGTCTCTTCAGTCCAAAAGAACTTAAATAAAAATCGTCCATCCATAAAAAAGTGTCTCACACCCAGGGAATTTGGCTACATTTACACTGTTGCCAAGAGGGGGGTAATGGTTTTGTGCGGGTTTTATCTCAAAGACCTGGTAACCCTGATTGTACCCCGCTCACTTTTATTGCATGGACAAAAAACACTTTTTTCAAAGTTTCTTCTTTTGTGTTTTATAAATGGGTTTGGGATAGAATTTTCGTATTTGGGTGAACTATCCATAAAAAATGATCAACAGTACTTGTGATAGTAAGCAGCACTGCTAAAAACATCTCAAACAGCCCAGTCTTAAAGGGTTAGTTCACCCAAAAATGAAAATTAGGCTGCGTTTTACTCACCCCCGAGGCATCCTAGGTGTATATGACTTTCTTCTTTCAGACGAATCCAGTCGGAGTTATATTAAAAATTGTCTTTAATCTTTCAAGCTGTTTAATTCCACTCAGCGAGTCTCTTCAGTCCAAAAGAACTTAAATAAAAATCGTCCATCCATAAAAAAGTGTCTCACACGGCTCTGCGGGGTGAACAAGGGCCTTCTGTAGCGAATCGATGCATTTTTGTAAGAAAAATATCCATATTCAAAACGTAATAATCACTTGAATCTAGCTTGTGCTCACTGTTGTAAATGGAAGCAGGGCTAGAGTGAGCGGTAGCTGGCTTGAATGAGGGGAGGTGGGCGGGCTTGAGAACGGAGCGGCCGGCGGGCTTGCGGCAACCACATGTGACGACCCCGGGCTGGACTCCGCTTCATCCACGGTTAAAGCCTATCCGGCGATCCACAGCGCGAAGTTGATGTATTTCCTCAGCGTCCAGCACGGATCAGCTCTAGGCATGACGAAGCGGATATCGTCTTCTTTTGGAAGGCCAAACAAAGTAGTTTCTCTTTCACAACGAAACACACAGCGCCTTTACGACTTGGCGGCAGTAACAATACTACAGCGAGAATAAAAGTTATGCCTTCTTTCTTTGCGTGAACATTTGGGCGGCGTTA